AGCCACTCATCAGATCTGCAGGGGCTGCAGGCCTGCGGCATCACCGCTGTCCTCAACGTCTCCGCCAGCTGCCCCAACCACTTTGAGGGCCTTCTGCGCTACAAGAGCATCCCGGTGGAGGACAACCAGATGGTGGAGATCAGTGCCTGGTTCCAGGAGGCCATAGGCTTCATTGGTACGAGGGGGCCTCAGCAGGGACCCAGGGGAGGGACTGGGGCAACGTCTCCTTCCTGCCCAACTTCCCGTCTGACCTCCACCCATTTCCCTTGCAGACTCAGTAAAGAACAGCGGGGGCCGGGTGCTGGTGCACTGCCAGGCTGGTATCTCCCGGTCTGCCACCATCTGCCTGGCATACCTCATACAGAGCCACCGTGTGCGGCTGGATGAGGCCTTCGACTTTGTTAAGCAACGCCGGGGGGTCATCTCCCCCAACTTCAGTTTCATGGGGCAGCTGCTACAGTTTGAGACTCAAGTGCTGTGTCACTGAGGTGGGGCCGGGGCACACACAGCCACGGGCTCCTGAGGAGCTGACCCGGGACAGCTGGGCTCCTTTCTGGCCTCACACTGCCCCTCACCTCAGGGAGGGCTGCCCCTTCCTTGAAGTTTGGAAAGCCCCCAGGTCGGGGCGCTGCAAGTACGGGAATGCTGGATTTTCTCACCTGGTGCTCTTCTGCTAGGGGTCTGAGGGCTGGCCCTCATTTGGAGACAAGAGAGAAGGGTTTGTCTGTTCCCCTCCAACCCCAACCTTTGGCAGAAACTAACTGGACTCTACACCCATGGCCCCACCACTGTGTTGAAGCCCAAGGAACAAGCTGTGACAACCAGGAGCCCTGTCTGGGGATGGCACACCCCAGGGCCTGGAGCCTGAGCCCTGTGCTCCTGGGGAGCTGGGCTCAGGGAAGTGATGTGTCCCTTGTGTGTGAGCCTCTTGCGTGTGTGTATTTGAACATTTCACGCCCATGTTGGCGCTGGAAAGTTATTTGTGTTCAACTGACATTTAACACTCCCTCCCCTACTTCCTCCCAGCCCTGTGGGCGGGGGCTGGAAACTTAGCACTTTATATTTATACCTAACTTTGAGGATGTGTCAATAAAATATTATTTTGTTAGAAAAAAAAAATACCTTCTCAAGCACCTGGTATCAAATCAATGTCTGGGAAAATGCTCAAACGCTCTTTCTTAATCAGGGCTCACCTTTCCTTGTGACTTGGTGCCTGGGAAACAGAAGGAGGAAGGTGCATGTGTACCCTCCTTGGCAGAACGTGCCCTCTGGACACCAGCTCTACTGTGCTGTTGGCCTTTCCCAGGTGGTTTCTGGACACTGGCTCCAATCTTACTCCTGTTACAGGCATTGGTCCTGTGTGTCCATGACTCAGAATGGCCCAGCACTGCCCTGCTTGAACCGCACTTTTGTTCTGGAGAATGTGGATAAGTGTGTGTGTGTGTGTGTGTGTGTGTGTGTGTACCCATGTATGTGGCTGTCCTATGGGTGCGGGTGTTTTGTTCTTAGCCGGCACGCACCTACAAGTCACGTGCATAGGTGTTCCTACATTCCTGCGTGTGGCTGTGCGTGTGGCTCTCCCCGTGGCTGTGTGCATGTATCAGGCCTCTCCACTTGCCCCTGGCCTTCCACACTCCCAGGTTGGGCCCCTGGGCCTCAGAATACCCAATGCTGGGGCTCATGATGGCCCCTGTTCCAGAGCTCCTCGTCCCAAGAATACATGTGACATGGCGTTTGGAACTGAGTACATGTCACTTGGGATTGGCTTCATTGCTCTTCACACCAACCCAGTGTGTGTGTTTGCTGAACACTGGTTACAGGCCCAGGGTGTCTAGGGAGAACAAGGCGTCTGGGGAGATATGAGATAGGGCCCAGTCCAGCCGGAGCAGAGAGCGCCTGCCTAACCTGCTGGAGGGGGTGTGGTGGCCCGTGAGGACAGCTCTGCGAGAACTCATTCTGCTTCAGCCTCGACTCTGACTCTCCTGGCCACTCAGACGCATGTGTGTCATCTCACTAACTTTATTTTGTCCTCCCAAATGCTGCTCAAGGGTCACACTGCAGAACACCATCTTTTATTTGGGGCATTTGGAGTGCCTGGGAAGGCACTCCTCAGTGGGGCAAGAAAGGTTTTTTGGTTTCTGTTTTTTAAAAAGATTTTGGCTATTTGGTTATTTTCATTTATATATTAAATTGGCAGTGTGGTTTGATGGTTAGGGGCCAGTTTTGCTTCATCTTGCTGTATTTCAGTTTCCTTGTCTGTAAAATAGGGTTTATTGTTAGCCTCCACCTGTCAGAGTGGAATCGAGAATTATACACATGAATTCCATAAAGCTCCTGCACCTGCACATAGTAGGTGCTTGGGTAGTGTTAGCTCCTGATGGCCCAAGAGGCAAAGGTTTTCAGGTGTGCAGTTGTGCCTCTCAACCAAGCTGGATGGTTCCGAGGGCAGGGCCTACGGTTTGCTCCGTCCTGGGCCAAGAATCTGTCACAGATGGGCGCCCACTCCACTGGGCAGGCTCAGGAATGAACAGCCTGCCCCTGTTCTCTCTGCTCCCTGGTGAGAACAGCAGAGCTGGGATGGCCATCAGGGCTTCCTCAGGTCCTGAGTGGGCTTTTTTTTTAAAAAAAAAAAAAAGATTTTATTTTTCCTTATTTTTTTAGAGAAAGGGAGGGAGAGAGGGAAACATCAATGTGCGGTTGTATCTTGTGCGCCCCCTGCTGGAGACCTGGCCTGTAACCCAGACATGTGCCCTATACTGGGAATCAAACGGTTGGCCCTTTGGTTCACAGGCTGGCACTCAATCCACTGAGCCACACCAGCCAGAGCATGAGTGGGTTTTTATTTGGACCCGCCCACAACACCACGCCCATCTGGGATGGTGGCCACATCTGGGGTCCTGAGTCATTGGGCCTTCCCATCGCACAGATCCACCTCACACACAGCAGTACTGGTTGCTGAAGCCCCGGCCCACCTCATCCTCTCACCCGTACCCCAGCCAGTCCTGTCCCTACCTCACCCCATCCCACCCCAAGCAACCCCTCCACTCCACCTTCCTCTCCACAGGTTTTTAAGTTTGTCTTCCAAACAAACTGCATTTCTTCTCTCTCTCCTCCCCCACTGCTGCCTCCCTCCCTCCCCCACGTTCTCTTTCTTTATCCCCTTCCTTTTTATTTATTTTAAAATTTTTCACTGTGGTAACAAATATATAACAAAATGTATCATCTTTACTATTTTTAAGTGTATAGTTTAGTAATTCTAAGTGTTTTTGCATTGTTATGCAGTGGATTTCCAGAACATCTCCGTCTTGGCAAAAGTGAAATTCTGTCCCGATTACACAGCAACTCCGCATGCTCCGCCCCAGCCCCTGGCAACCACCATGGTACATCTGTCTAGGAATCTGAGTACCCTGTACACTGCATATCAGTGGGATCATATGGTATTTGTTCTGCTGTGATGGGCTTATTTTACTCAATGTAATGTTCTCAAGACACACTACATTTCTTAACCAAGAATCTGTTTCTCTACCTGAGCAGGGTGATTATCAATTATTAGGATGATTTTACTGAGCTCTCTCATCTGAAGGGTCAGATCCATGTGTTAAGACCTTGCCCTGTGACCACGGAATTTGTCTTCACTTGCGTTTATGATCCAGTTCCTATCTTTCCTCTTTTTTTAAAAAAGATTTTATTTATTTATTTTTCAGAGACAGGAAGGGAGGGAGAAAGAGAGGGAGAGAAACATTCATGTGTGAGAGATACATTGGTTGCTTCTCACACGGCCCCACCCCCACCCCGACCTCCCCGGGGACCTGGCCTGCCCTGGCCAGGCATGTGCCCTGACTGGGAATCACACTGGCAACCTTTTGGTTTGCAGGCTGGCTCTCAATCCACTGAGCCACACCAGCCAGGGCCAATTCCTATCTTTTGAGAAACCCTGGATTCCAGGCTCAAGAGAATGCTGAGAGGTATTTGAAGACAGTAGCTAGCATCTTTGGTTCTGTGGCTTCCCCTCACTGGAGTCCCCAAATCCTCTGCCTCCAGAATTTTAATCCAGGCAGTCGCATGATGACCACACTCTGAGGACAGGCCTCTTGAAAGGCTAAGGGGGTTCAGAGGAGCAGGAATAGGGACAAGGAGCTGTAGTTTCTGAACCTGTGAAATGGGGCTCAGTGCTGATTTTGCAAGGCAGTTTTTGCAAGGCTGTTGTGGGGAAGACAGGGGAGCCTCTGTGCGATGGCCTAGGTATCCAAGAATTCCCCCTTCCCCATGGCAGGCTTCTCTGGGGCATTGCTTACACCAGGCGTTAAGCTTGTGAACCTTTCCTGATTCCTGTACTTATGATTGTACCCTTTTCTACATGTATGCAACAATAAAAGCTTATAAAATGTAGTGAACTTTCCCTCCTTCACAGATGCATTGGGGGAGCCTCTGGGTCTCAGGCTGCTTATCCCACATCTGAGCACTGGCAGAAGCAGGACAAGGATTTCCCCCAGTTGCGGGATGAGGTCCCTCCCAGCGCTGAGCCTCAGCACCTCGCTTCCTCTCTGCCCCCTGGTGGCGGGAGAGGACCTAGGCAGAGGCACAGGCCCCAGTGCGATGCCTCTTCCCCAGGGAGCCTTGTACCCAGCTTCTTCCCACTCTCTCATCCACTTTAGCCAGGCCAGGAAGGATCTGGTGAGGATGTAAAATGGGTTTTACTGTTAACCCCATTGTGTAAAGTTCTTGCACCTGCCATAGGGGCTGGAGAACTCCTAGACACTTAGACCCTCCCAGAGGCTGGAGGTGGGGAGCACGGGCAGGGGTGGGAGGGGCTGCAGGAGGAGTTGGTTGGAGAGGGGCTGCAGATGGGGTCGATTGGGGAGTGGCTGCAGGTGGGGGCTGAAGTAGCTGCTATTTAGGGAGTGGGTGGCCCTAAGTCTGTAATTAGGTTGCCTCTTCCTTTCTGGATTGCAGCTCCTGCTTGCTCCGGGGCCCGCGGGCTCACCACGGACAGCATGAGAATGGGGGGCCTCTGGCCGTGGGTGCTGGGTCTGCTGTCTTTGCTAGGTAGGCGGCTGCCTCCCCCTCCTGTTTTGGCTCCAGACTGCAGAGGTGCTGGGGTGAGGCCAGAGGGTGTGGCTGGAGCCTGCAGGGCTCTGAATTGGTCTGAATCGTTCAGGAATGGGCTCTCCAGGGATTTTCCCAAAGACCTGGGAGCAGAGGTCCTGCCTGGAAGGTGTGGCACTCCAGACTCCTGCTTGTGTTAGTTGGGCTAGGCTTGCCCAGGTTGAGCCCCATTTCCGGAACCCTAGGTTGAGAAGGGAGCCATAGGGCAGGGTCTGAGGCTAGCCCTCACGGGCCATCCGTGTTGCAGCCTGAGGTTTGTCCCTGCCCCTCCTTCCTGATGCCCCCTCTACCTCAGACACACCCACATGCTCAGAGCACAGGGCTGCCTTTTGGAGCCCAGTGTTGGTCCTGCTAAGGGAGCTTCCTCCTCAGAGTTGTCTAGGCTTGGGCTTGGCACCAGCGGGGGCTGAGAGGGGAGGCCAGGCAGGCTCCCAGGGTTCCTTGCTGGAGGCCTCCCTCAGTAAAATGTCGGCCGCCCCCACCCCATGTTCTGACAACCTCTCCCACAATGGGGCACTTTGAGCCTCGTGTGTCTGGGTCAGATTTGGTCCTAGGAGCACCTGCAGCCTCCAGCTGCCCGGGAGTCTGTGGGAGCAGCTTCTCAGAAGACCTGATCCCTGAGGAGACTCAGATGTCTTGGGACAAGGACATTCCTGCGATTAACCAAGGTGAGGGTACTGCGTCTTGTTGTGGGGTGGCGGGTAAGACATGGACCATGGGGTATGGTGAGGACTGCGCTAACTGCTCTGACAGGCAGAAAAAGCTGGGAGGAAGCCTGAGGCTTCCTTGCAGGCTCTAGAGGAGTGGTTCTACCTTCAACTTCTTCCAAGTCTGTTTTTCTGTATCTTCTCTACTGCTTGTTACTTTTATAGTCAGGAGGAAGCATAGGTTTTTATAAATGGCCTAATAAAAGTATAGGGTTCTCTGTCTAGTGTCAGCTCAGTCATTAGTGGATGTTGGAACGTGTCGGCCGCCTGGTGCAGCATGGCCTGCAGGTGTGAGGGAACAGGTGGCGGGATACAGTGACAGTGAAGCTCGGGGCCCAGGGCCTCCCTGACTGGGGTCTCAGGTGGAGAATGAGAACATAGGGATGTTTTGGGTCCAAGCTGATAGAAACACAGGCTGGGGTTCAGATGTTAGAAGCTTTCCTTGGGGTAATGGGACTCTGCGATGGAGTCACCATGTGGTCTGCCCACCTCTTTCTCTGTGAGCCGAACTGGAGCCCCAGCACTGCTGAGCTGGAGCAGGGCAGGACACCGCCTTTGGTGACGTTGACCTCCCTGGAGGTATCCAGGCTCAAACTGAGGCTTTCCTGGCATTGGTTTTTACATGCAATGGAGAAAGCTTTTAGCTAACTGTTGCTGGCAGTCCAGACAATTACGTGTCCATGAGCCGCCAGCAGCAGCCGGGAAGCACACGGTCCCAGCTGCTGGAAATGCTGGCTGCTGAGGCCACGCAGCTGAAGGCCTTTGGCCAGGGATGTTGGGAAGCTGCTCCCTTCTCTGCCCGGGGCCGGGGGTGGGGCGGTCCACAGTAATTCATGGGTACGTGGGTCTGGCCCCTGCCTCAAGGTGGGACAAGTCCATGGTGCCATTGGCGCCCAGATCTCCCCTAGGATCAGACTGAGGCTCCCCTCCAGCTGAGCACAGCTCTCCCCCCGGAGCCTCCCAGCATTCCTTTGTCCCTTGGAAAATTCTTTCCAGGTGGCTCCCAGCCTCTGGCTCTGCTTCTAGGGAACCCAGGTTCAGGCACCTCCAGGGCGTCAGGTCTTTTCCAAGATTCTTCATGGGGCACAGATGTTTGAAAAGAGTCTGTAGGGAAGGGCTACAGCTGTGGCAGAAAATGCAGTTGGAAAAAGAGAGGAGACACAAGCTGAGATGGCGAGGGAAGTGGGGGGACGGAGAGAGCCAGGCTCCCCGGAGCCAGTGCTCGCTGTCCTCCTATGCGGTTTGGGCTGAAATTCCTGACACTTGCCACCTCAAGCATCTTGAGTATCACCCCCGGAAGGGCCAGGAGTAGGATGGGGCATGAGGTGAGACAGCAGAGCCCTTGGCAAGTTCTGAGGAGCATGGCTTGGACTCGGGTGGATGGAGACATCTGGAAGAAAGGTGCCTCCTGACAGCAGAGGGCCCCAACACAGGAGGCAGGAGTTGGTGCTGGACTGGGGAGATTATGGGAGACGTGAACTCTCTGAGAGAAGGGTGTGACCAGGCTGAGAAGCATCACACTTCTGTAGACTGTGGCTCAGAGGGGCTACGCAACTTGTCTGAGGCCACAAGCCTCAGGCCCAGGGGAGCCCTGGCTCGAGTCGGAGGAAGGACTGACTCAGGGGTTACTTGATCTGACAGTCAAGGCCTGTGCAAGGCTTCCCTAGAGCACGTGCCCTGGGGGGCCCGGGCCCACACATCCTCCCTTCGTTCCCAGGGCTCATTCCTGAAGAAACACCCGAGAGCAGCTTTCTCCTTGAGGGGGACATCCTCCGGCCGGTGAGTGAGTAGGTATAAATGAACTTGAGCTTCTTCCTGTCCTCAGGTGTCTTGGGGCATGTCATGGGAGGGATCTCTTTGTTGCTCATAGCTTAGTAGATACCCCTTCTCGCCAAAGTCAGAGTGAATGTTCTATTAGGAATAACTAGCCTGAATGCGTTCCAGATGTTACCCTCCTGGGAGGGCTCCCTGAAGGAGGGGCTTTTGCTCTTAAGACCCAGCGTGATATCCTGCCCAGGGGAAATGCTCAGGAAGTATTGGGATGAAAGGAGAGCTGCGCGCAGGCCAGCAGAGTGGCTGGTGGCGCTGGAGGGAGGTGTTGGTGGCCTGGGGAAGACAGAACAAGGAGCAAGGCAGACACCATCCTGGCAGGGGTTGGCGGGCAGTCAGCATGGGAGCAGGATGGATGGGACCTGGGGCGAATAGCCAGTGAAGAAGCGAACACTCTGTTCAGGAGAGCAATGGCATCTTTTAGGAGACTGGGGATGACAGAAAAGTCCAGAATAGGACAGTGACCCTGGTGAGAGCAAGACTGGCCTGTGGTTTGGAGGCAGACTGGCCAGGGTGAGGCCCCTGCGGCCCCTGCTCCCTGCTGCCCATCGAGTGCATGGCGTGAGGGCAGAATCCAGGAAGGCCTGTACCTGTGGGGCAGGACCTGCTGGGTGTTGTGAAGCCTATGCTTCAAAGCGTTTGGGATGGCAGAAGGGAAGATAAGAGCTGCCAAGGCCAAGGGTATTGCCTTAGAATCAGGCCAGGGAGGACCTTGCCCTGTCTTTCTACTGCACACTCAGGGTGCTCGGGAGCTGCTGTGCTCCAGGGAGGGGCTGCCGGCAGAGCTCCGAGCACTTCTGAACTAGGCCATCCTGGGGTGCTGGGACTCCCAGCCAACCTCCCCAGGGTGTCTTGATTCCTTGGCTTGATAGAATCAGTTGCAAGTTCTGTGTTACACAGAACAAACCCTTGGGTTATGCACCGCAATTCACATGGCTGACTTCCTAGCTTTTATCCCATTTTTAATGGCCTCCCCACCATCACATGCCTGTGTCCTGCTGCTCACATCTTCAGGGCTCTTGTGACCTGTGGTGTGGCGTAAAGCTTGGCTGGTCTGTGTCCCTAGGGATCCCTGAGCTCTGCCCTCTCTCCTCAGAGTCCCTTCCGCCTGTTTTCGGCTACAAGCAACAAGTGGCCCAAAAACGGGGGTGCAGTGGAGGTACCCTTCCTGCTCTCCAGCAAGTATGGTGAGTGCTCACTAGAAGCCCAGCGCCGTCCCCTTCATGGCTCCCGCCCCTGTTCCCAGTATAGCCTGTGCTCCTCTCTGGGTTTTCTCCTCTTCCTCTACATCTCCGCAGCCCCTCTCTCAGCACCACACAAAGAGCCCTCCCCTCAGAAGCCCCCTCCATTTTAAAAATAAAAACATGGTACTTATATACAATGGAATACTGCTCAGCCATGAAGATCATACCTTCTATTTGCAAGCAACATGGATGGATCTTGAGAGTATCATGCTAAGTGAAATAAGCCAGGTGAAAAACCATGTGATTTCACTCCTGTCATATATAAACCAAAAAGCAACAAACTAACAAACAGCCTCATAGACAAAGAAACTCTTTTGTACCTAGGGTTTCCTGAGCAGGGGAAAGGGTGAATTGAGATCCTGGAAGAGCTGATGGGAAGGCACATCAAGGGACTGTCTGTCCATTCTGAGACCAAGTGGCCCAGGGGACAGTGACCTATCCAAGATCACACAGCCAGTCTCTGTCCGGAGCCCAGCTTTCTTGCCCTCATGTGATCACACTGCCTGTTCTTGACACTTCATGTTGGAGGTGATTTGAGGGTTTTTCTTTGTTTTTGTTGTTGTTGTTGTTGTTGTTGTTGTTGGGTTTGGTTTTTTTTTGTTTGTTTGTTTGTTTGTTTTGAAGCTCAGTTTCCTGCCCCACATACAGACTTCCAGAGGCCACGAGGGCTCTGGGGGTTTGGCTGTGGTTTCAGCCAGGTGTCTCCTCCTCAGATGAGCCCAGCCGCAAGGTCATCCTGCAGGCATTTGCCGAGTTTGAACGCTTCACATGCATCAGGTTTGTTGCCTACCATGGCCAGAGAGACTTCATCTCCATCATCCCCATGTCTGGGTAAGTGCTCTTGAGTATTGTGTGTGTGCGCACTCATATGCACATGCAGGGTGAGCTGCTCAGCTTTTTTGTGTTCAGCCTGAATGAACCAAACCATTGTCTAAAACCTATTGCCGGGTCCATCCGCCCAGGTCCAAATACTGCTGCTCACTCTGAGTGACTTGCCTGATGTAAGCCGGACCTATAGTACTCAGGGCAGAAAGTGGGGAGAGGGAGTTAGGTGCTGGACCCTCCCTTATGAAGCCTTCTTCCCTAGGGGACTTCATGGTCTGTTGGGCAAGCGCAGGTTTGGTGGGACAGACCTGGCCTTGGATCTGGGTTCCACAATGCAGGAGCTGCCTGACTCCGGGCAAGCCCCTAGGCTTCTGAGCAGATTCTACCCTCTTTCTGAAATGAGGGTGATGATGTTTCCTAGCTTGTCAGGGGCCTATGCATATATGTGTGGTAGCTTTGATTCAAGTCTCCCTGTGGGTACATTCACTTAGCTGCTTCTGTTACCCATGTTACTATGACTTCCTGCCTCTTGTAACCCAGGATGGTAATGAGGTTCAATACATCCATTTCACAGAAGACCAGGCAGTGAAGGGACTTGGGAACAGCAAACCTGGAACTAGAGTCCAGGATGGTGACCCCATGTTCGTCTCATTCATTCCAGGACTTGGGGGGGGGTGCTGGGTCTGCTCTGGCTCTCGGGGCTGGTGCCCACCCAGCTCATTCTCATGGCCCTGCAGGTGCTTCTCCAGCGTGGGGCGCAGTGGAGGGATGCAGGTGGTATCCCTGGCTCCCACCTGTCTGCAGAGGGGTCCGGGCATTGTCCTGCATGAACTCATGCATGTGCTGGGCTTCTGGCATGAACATTCAAGGGCTGATCGAGACCGTTATATTCGTGTCAACTGGAATGAGATCCTACCAGGTAAGCCAGGTGGTGCACAAGCCAGGCTGGGTGTAGGAGTCCATTGAGAGAGGGCTGCAGATATGGCCCAATGTCTGAGAAGTTGCCTGGCTATTTGGAAGAGCTCTTCCCCACCATCTGCCTGTCTTTCATGGGGAAGATGGGGTACCCCTTCTGAGATCTGGGAAGTGGCCCAGATGCTGCTGCTCTGGGCTCTAAGCCTTTACCTGCCCACCCACAGTCTTGCCCAGGTTGGGGCATCACCATTTCTCTTCATGGACACTGTTGGTTACCTGAGGATATGCTACTGGTATCCCCGGAGCCTTGCTCATTGTACACCCAGCTAGCAGTTCCTTGTGCACACAGCTGTGTGTGTGTGTGTGGCGGGGGTGGGGGGGGAGCGGCTGTGCTCCAGCTGCAGGGGCTGAGCCAAGCAGAGACCTGGAGGTAGCGGACTGTATGCATCCTGTGTCAGATGCGGGTGGCTGAGGGGCATGGTGCCTGTGAGGGGGTACTGGTGAGCATGGAGGACCGAGGACGCGTGCGGAGGCTGGTCTGAGGAGGGGGCTGCACCCCGCACGCCTGTGTGCTGGGAACAGTGCTGGGTGCAGAGGTTTGATCCCGGTCATGGGGGGGACCCTGCCCTCTTAGAGGGATAGCCTGATTCAGGAGGTGAGGGGAACAGACAACTGTTTCACAGAGAAGGGGAGCAGAAGAGATATGTGGTCAGGAGTTTCGTTTGGGGTGTGGATGTAGAGGGAGGAGGCAGAGGCTTCTAGCAAGCAGAGGGCGCTCACGCCCACTGCTGCCGTGGGTCAGGCCTGTGCATGCCTGAGGCAGGCCAGCATCCTGGAGCCTCAGAAGGTGCCCTGGGGGCATGGAGATTGGGGATCAGAATTAGCCTGGGGCAGTGGAGGGTGATGGGGACTCTGTGCCCTGAAGACAGGCTATGTCACCATTTCAAGTGTTCATGGAACACTTGTGAAAACTTACCATATGACAGTGATAAAACTTCAGTTTGAAAAAGTAGAATTAATATGAACATCTTGATCATGATGTAAAGTGAAAAATAGAAACTAATAACAAATCAAACCCAAAACGTCTTCTACTTGGAAATTAAAGTTAAAACAAAAAGAGCAAACAAAACAAAACAAAAAGAGCTCTTATCTCTGGGGGTTAAAGAAATAGAGGAATTCTAAGGGAAAAAAAAAATCACGAAAACACATTAGAGCCAATGGTTCACAGCTAAAGCAGGGCTTGGGGGAAATGTTTAGACTTAACTACTTCTATCAATAAGAATAGAACAAAGCAAGCATTTCAGTCCAAGTTAAGAAAAAATAAAGCAGGAGGGAATTAATGAAGGTAAAAGCAGAAATTAATGAGTTAGGAAACAAAAAGCACTAATAGACTGAGGAGCTGTTTCTTAAATATTAAACAGGCGAAAACACCTGTTACCCTAATGGGGAAAATTGCTTAAGAATTTTAAAAAATGGGATTTTTTATATTTAGTTAATAGGTACAGAACACACACTCTGCTAGGACATGCAAGCTATTAACATTAATTAACTGTGGGGTTGGATGTGGGGATTCAGAAGGGGGATGGAGTAAGAGACGCTGTATAGCTAGACTTTATTTTTGAACCAGATGAATAAATTATCTGCTCCAAATTGTTTAATAACTGAAGGGTGTGTGTGTGTGTGTGTGTGTGTGTGTGTTTTAAAGAAATAAGCGTTCTCCAGGAGCAGGTATTTTAGGCAGGTGATGGGATGCCATTTGCTTCATGGTGAGGGGGTTGCTGGTGACTGTGGGGAGGCTGTGGAAGTGGCTGGGCCTGGCGTGGGCGTGGGGGCAAAAACGGAGGGCGCAGCTCTTCTTTCAGAGGCTCACTGTGAAGGACAGGAGAGAAGTAAGGGGAGGGAACCTTGCCCTTCCCAGGCCTGGAGCGCCAGGTAACATGGAGAAGTGGGTGCTCTGGCCAGTGGGGGAATGCTGGACTCCAAACCTGGGGGCTGGGTGCTGCTGGCTCGAGGCTAGAACAGCTGGGCTTGCTGTGGGGAACGCAGGTTCACCCCAGCAGGTGCTGAGGAGCAGGTCTGTAAAACTGGATGAGTAGACACTTCATTTGGTGGGTAGGGGGCGCCCAAGGCACTCTGAGAGGGAGTGGCTTCGTGGAAGCGGCAGGTAATACAAAAAACTAGTCTTATGCAAGGTGAGCTTGAGATGATGAGGAAGACAGGTGGAAAATGCTGAGGAGGCCGGGTGCAGGCCTGGACCCCTTCCAGGTGAGGGGTAATAAGCAGTGAAGGCACACCGGAGAGACAGGATCAGGGACCAGTATGGCGGGGGGCGGGGCGGGGGGCAGAAAGAAGTACCTTTGCCTGTAACTTTGAGCTCCTCAGCTCAGTTCCTAGAAGTCCCTTATCCCCCCACCACCCCACTCCCACCCATTCTCTTTCCCGATTGATTTCCGCCGCCCCCCGCCCCCCGCCAGGCTTTGAAATCAACTTCATTAAATCTCGGAGCAGCAACATGCTGGTGCCCTATGACTACTCATCTGTGATGCACTACGGAAGGTGAGGCCCCCTTTCCTTCTCGTCCTCCCTCTGCACTGCCTGGCCGGCCCTTGCTGTGATCCAGACTCAGACCCCCGCCTGCTGTGTTCCAGGTTCGCCTTCAGCCGACGTGGGCTGCCCACCATCACGCCACTCTGGGCCCCCAGTGCCCACATTGGCCAGCGATGGAATCTGAGCAGCTCAGACATCACACGGGTCCTCCGGCTTTATGACTGCAGCCCGGGTGGCCCTGACCCCCGTGGGAGAGGTGAGTGACAGGGGCAGAGTGATTTGAGAAACCTGGAGAAGGTCCCTGTACTGAGGTGGTGTCAGAGAGGGTGATGTGGTAGGAGAGGAGGTTGCAGAGGTGAGCAGAGCGAGACAACCAGGGACTAAGACAACCAGTTTTCTATTTTAAAAAATGAATTTCTAACTCATGCACCAGTAGATTCCAGATGTATATAAGACTTACACATAGTAGAAGGTGTTGGACTCAGCAAGGACACGGTGGGTTATCACATCCGTGAGAGGAGCTACGTCTCTGTGAATAAAACTGAAGACAGCTCTGGCCCTCTGCAGCTGGGCCACACACTTCCCTCCTGTGATTCTGGGACGTGACCCTCCAGTCTTTTCTGCTCCAGGGTTCCAGGCGCATGGCAATGGTGGGAGCCCCACTCCAGCCTCTGGACCACACCTGCAGCGGCTTCTGGAGGCATTGCTGGCAGAGTCCAGGAGCCCCAACCCCAGCGACTCTAGGGCTGGAGAGAGCCCACCGGAGTGGGAGCCCCCAACCCTGGGGAAGTTCGGTGTGGAGGCCTCTGCAAGGTGGCCTCAGAGCTCAGCTTCCTCCACAAGCTCAAGGGCTGGTGCAGGTGCTCCTGCTGTTGCCCTGGACTCATCCCAGCAGGCCCAAGCACCCACTGTCCCCCTAGTGTTGCCTCTAGAAGCAGAAGACCAGCCTGCACCTATCCAGGCTGCTTTGGGGAACCCAGCTCTGGGTCACTTCAAGGGGACACCCAGAGGTCAAGCCTGTGGCTTCTGTGCCTAAGTGGGGAGGACATCCTCTGCCCAGAGCAGCTGAGTCAAGCAACCCTCAGCCCCTCTAGATGATGCCCCTGTTTTCCAGCCCCAGTCTGACCTCCCTGTCTGAGGCACAGGCCTCTCCCTCTACCCCTTCCTTCCCTACCATGTTTCCCCAAGGGCTCCTAGGAACAAAGGGACCATCTAGGTCTGTCAGGGGACACCAGGCTCTGCCTGTTCTCATGTCTCCCTCGGCCCTGGAGGATGCTGGGTCTAGGAGGTGACATTCTCCAGGGCTCTGGGGACGGGTCTGGAGGGGCGAGGAAGAAGATTCTAGCCTTCAAGGCTGTGGAAATCCTCCTGTAGCTGAAGCCCAGCCCCAGAGCATGAACTAATGGCATTGCCCCTATCTCTCCTTTGGGTCAGGCGTTGGGGGGAACCCCATGCTGGGACCTTGGGAGAGTCTCTTGTTCCTGATGTCTGGGTGCTGGAAATGCTGCCCTGCCCCTACAGCTTCCAGCTCTGCTCTCCAAGAGGTTCTCAGTGCCCACCTCCCTCCCCTGCAGCTCAGGAAGGCTCCAGAGTCGTGGGGGTGTCACCCACAGGGAAATGAAGAGTTTGGGGCTCTCTACGAATGAATGCACAGTGGGAAAGTCAGCAAAGATGTGAGGATGTGAGAACCCTGAACACAGAGCTCAAAGCTCCTTACCACCCTGCATTGCTATTTCCAGGAGTCTTCCTTCCCCCCTATGGCCAGAGGAGGCCCTGAAAGGTGGCAACGGCCTGGCCAAGTCACTGTGCTTGCCCTCCTTCAGCCAATCCCCACTCCTCAGCTCCTGGCCTTCCTGGTGAGGGCTGTTCCAGGAGCAACGAACACCTCCAGCGGTGCCTGCGAGCAGTCCAGGAACCCCTGGTGGCGCTGTTCTGTGACCTGGGGTGGGAGAGAACAGGAGCCCATGCCCTGTCCCAGTGGCGCCAGGCACCTCAGGTGTTTGGGGAGGTGGAAATAAAGTTGGGTACTTGCTCCAGGACTTGGGCACTGGGCTGTGGGACACACACACACACCCACACCCACCTCCCAACGCCTCCCCCCACCTCCCCGCATCCCCCGGCACCCCCCCCCCCCCCCGCCCCTGGCCTCTGCCACTCCTCACTGCCCTGGGCAGGCCCTCAGGTGGTCATACCTATTTTCCAGAGGGGGAGTGCAGGCTGAGGCGCCGTCTTGGCTCACCTCAGGGGACCTGTGGGCGCACGCTAGGATGCTGAGCCTCTGCCCTCAGTCTCTCTTGGGTCAAGGATTTTCTGAGACTGAACAGGAAGGGGCCTGATCTCAAACCTTAGCTTCAGAGGAAGATCATGTGGGGGAAATGCTGTCGTCGTCTTGCTCCCAGGCCTGGAGGAGGGTGTCTGGGTTTAGAGTGGGTGAGTGGGGGTTCTGGCCATGCTTCTAGCAAGTGACGGCTCCCCTGGGGATCCCTAAGCAGTCTTTGGACAGACCCTAAGACAGACACTTCACCTTTAGTGCCCTCATTTGTAAGAGACGAGTGTGGCTGCCTCACGACCGGTGGGTCTCTCTGAGTGGCCCAGCCAGGCCTCTGGCTCTGGGCTTGCGTTTCCTGATGGCCACCTAAGTTGGAGGAGGTGACATGCTTTGTGCCCAGTAAGGTCCTCCTTGCTCTCAGAAGCTTCCCAACACATGCCTTCATTAGTGTATGGCTTTGGTCTTGGAATCTGCACTCTCCAGTGGCTGGGGTAAGGCTGGCTGAACTTGGTGGTACAAGGAAGAGCACCCCTCCTCTTCTTTGGGGGTGATAGGGACAAGGCTGTCCTTGTCACGCCCTGCCCTATGAAGCCACCTATCACCATAGAGCCCATTCCCCAGGCCAGCTCTGGGCCTAGACTTGTTCCATAAGCCCTGCCCTGCCCCTGGTTGTCCAGCCCCGGTGCAGCCCCTGAAGGGGCGTGTGGTATGCATGGGGCCCTGGGGTGTTAACCAGAGCCCAGGTGGCTAGCCACCCACCCCAGGGCCTGTGGCCTGTCCCCCAGTCTCCAGCCACATAGCGACGTGGGCTCACTGATCAATTTATTCAGTCAACAGTCATCTGTTATGAACTAGGTGCCAGGCAGGTTCTGTTATAGGCACTGGGAATATCAGAGTAAGCAAGACAGGTTTCTGCTCTTATGGAGTTTATTTGGGTGGTGGAAAAAGATGGAAGGCACACAGGCAGGTAAAAAGAAAAAAAGCACCTCTTATGGAGGAGGGGAGTATTCCATTATGGTGCTGGCGTTTCAACTGAGACCTGAATGGCGGGATGAGGCTACCCTGGGAAAACCTGGAGACCAGCCAGTGCAAAGGCTCTGAGGCAGGAGGAGGGTGTGTCAGGCCAGTGTGAACTGGGGGATGTGGAGCTGGGAGCAGGCGGAGCCAGGCGCATCGGAGAGGGAAGGTTTTATTCTCCAAGAGCAGCAGGGAGCAGCTGCTGAAGGGTTCAAGGGAGGGGAGTGATAAGATATGATTTAATATTTTAAAAGCCATTCTGGATGCTCTGGAAAATGGACAGGAACAGGAACAGCCGGAAGACACGGCAGGTGCACAAGCAAGAGCAATTGGGGCAGTGGAAACGGGCAGAAGTGGGTGCTTCTGGAGCGTATTTTCAAGGTTGAGGAAATCACACCTGCGATTGGTTACAAGGGTTGAGGGCACCCCTTATAGCACTGAAGGCCAAAGGGAGAGGTAGGGCTCTGGGGAATGTGCATGTTAAGTCTAAGGCTATTAGAACTGGAATGAGTGGATCAGGGAGCATGCGGGCTGACTGAGCCCGGAGCTCCCATCTGATGGCTTCCACCTTCACCTGAGTGTGAGGCAAAGTCACAGCTTAGGGTCAGAGGCCAGCGGGGAGTGGAGGGCGGATGGGTGGGAGGTGTGGGGCAAGGACAATGAAAGCAAAGCCGATTCTGAACAGAGAACAGAGCTCTAGGAAAGTCTGGAGATTTGTGGTCGTGAATTGAAAGCAAGGCCAGTCAATGCGGTGAGTGTTCTGCTCCAGAAAAGGCAGCCGCTTGGTCAAAGGCAGAAAGTGGTGAATGATTTACTTCTGACCAGGGTTGGGGTTTTATTACAGGAATGTGATGGAGAAAGAGAGGATGACCGACTGACATTAGAGAGTACTGTTCAAGGGTCTGGGAAGGGGTGAGGCTGGATCATACAGGGTGGTCTGGGGGTCATCCTGGTGGGCACTGAGCTGCCGAAGCCCTGGCCTGGGAGGACCTGGGACCAGTCTCACCCCTCAGGCCTGCAGAAATGGCTCCAGGGCTCCCAGCTGAGATGGCACAACTCTTGCTGCATTCTCACAGCCAGGAATGGAACAACTGTCTTCCTTCTTTGGGAAAGATGGTACCAGGTCACCTTTGCCCCATGGCCCCGCTTTCCAAGGACATCCCTCAAGGGCACCTTCATTTGGACACTCTCCTCCTGCCTGAGAAGGGCTCATGTGTATGTCATCCATTGATACCTGTCTGCCACCATTCAACCAGATGCCTGCTCTGATGTAGGGAGTAATGCAACAAACCCGCTGGGCACCATCTCAGTACAGTGCTCTCAGTGCAATAGCGGCACTGTTTGCACGGAATTAAGGAAATTGGAGAAAGGGTTATATGCTTTTGCCTGAGAGGATGGTGACAGGTGCTTGTGCCTTGAAGAGAGAGTGGGGCTCACCAGTTTCTGGCACAGAAAACAGTCCCTGGAGTTGGAACTTAGGGCTTGTCCAGGGACCAACATGTAGCCTGGTGGGGCCAGGAAGCCAGACCAGTGCCTGCCCTAGGCAGTTCCTGCTGCTGGCTGGTTGTAGGTCTGGAACTGAACTCTCCCTGGTGGAATAGGATGATGAGAAGTCACATGTACTTGAGGGAAGGAAGCCCTGCTGTGGCCTGAGGCTCCGATTCATGCAGGGCTGGATGGAACAGGCAGCTGGAAGGTGTGTGGGGGAGATGGAGAGTTGCAGAGAGGAGCAAGGATCCAGTTATATAATGGCCCCCACTGCCCCCAAAGCCAGAGGCACATCTGGAGGGTGGGGCTGAAAGGTGGCAGCAGGTGACACAGAGCCTGGGGTGGTGACTGAGCCTCATGGGTGCTTGTAGACTGTCTCTGGCTATCTCCACGTGGGTTGGTATCCCCAGCAGGGCCTGGTGCTAGGAAGACCTGGAGCTGCCTCTCCATGTGAGAACCCCTCAGTGGGGGCTTGTATGTGGCAGGAGAGGGAGTAAAGTCGTTCTGACCTCAGCTCCTTCAGTAGCCTTGAGGCCTGGCCTTTAAGGAAAATGGGCCAGCGACAAAGGCTGATGCTGGCTGTATTGTCGAGACCTACCCTCCTCCCCCAACCCCGCAGCCTGAGTATGGTTGGAGAGGGTAAAAAAGTGCTTCCCAAGCCCGTTTGAGCCGCCAGGGCTCTCAGGCTGCAGCTGCGAACAGGGAGCCATGGAGACAGGCAGGAACTTGCTTAAGTGAGTGCTCCCCAGGCTCCAATGTTCACCCTCCATCCTTCCTTATGGAAGGGGTTACTGAGGCCTCTCCATCCCTGGCAACTGTGGGACTAGACCCTGCCCAGCCCAGTGAGTGGGGAGGATGCATCTATAAAACCTGCCTCTGGATAGGGCAAGAGACGCTGGCTGCCCTCTGGGAACCCAGCCTAAGACAGCACTGGACCCATTTGGCTGTGGGCACTTGCACCCAACAGAGGGTCTGGCTAGGCTGACAGCCCAGGATCAAGGAGGAACACACTTCCCCACCAATACCACGTGGCTGGAGGATCTGGGGTACTGCCCATCTGAGCCTGGGTAGGGATAAGCCATTGTCGTGGACACCAAGACATTGCACTCCCTGCTGTCACAATGATGGAGCTGACAGGAAGGAAGGACCAGCGACCCAAGGCCAGTCCTGTGGCACAGCCCTACTTTCCAGAACAGATAGGTACCTATTTATACAGAGAATGTCATGCAGCACTGTGCGCGAGAAATGCAAGCAAGGCCTGGCTCTAGGCTGGGGTGGTAGCATGAGGTGCTACCAAAGCAGGGAAAAAAGTGCCCCTGAGGCTGCCCAGGTAGCCCGGGTGGCGGTGGCCAGCGGGAGAGTGAGTAGAAACGGTGCCTGAAGGAGAGCCATGGCTCCACAGATCTTTGAGGCCAGGATGGGGGTGAGAGTGGTATGTGTTTAGTCAGAAATGTCTTCTTATCTCAGCTCCTTTTCCCACGGCCACCCAAGAGGGGCGCACGGCATGCAGGTGAGCAGTCAGCTGGACTGGACAGGAAGCAAGCAAAGCTCCTCCCTTCACAGCTGACCCTGAGACCTGTTTTTTTTTTTTTTTTGAGACCCCCCACTAAGTCTCTTTGCTCTGCCCCCTAGGACATCCTCTTCCAGCAGTCAAGAGGTTGAGTTTGCCCAGGGCCCCCCACCCCCAAACAAACCTTTGCCTGCATCTTGGCTGCTGCTGAGATTTGAGTCAAGCCAGTTTTCCTCTTACCTCTGTCCTTAACGGAGGAAACCGAGGCAGCTGCAGAAGAAATAGGACAACTGAAGCTGTGAATCTCCGAGCATTCACCTGGCCCTCGGGCTTGGAGCGTTTCAGGGCCCGGGACACTGCAGAGACGCCGGGTCTCGGCGGGCCGTGGACGGCGGCAGGGGGCGCTCGTCACCCGGCCACACAAGGTCTCCCCAGGCTCCGCAGGCCCGACGGGAACCTAGTCTGGGCAGGAACGCATTAGGGGTCGGGGATTTGGGGCAGTCTCCCGGCTCCCTCCACCCCTCTGCTTGGCTTCTTTCTCGGGTGCCGGCGTGGTTGCAGTTTATTGTGCCCCAGCGCCCAGCACCCACCCACTCTCTCCTTTGGGCCCTTGGTCGGCAGGAGCAGAGATCACCTCGTGCCCACCGTCCTAACTTCCCAGGCTCGGCCCCAGCCCCGTATTCCCTAGGAGAGAGGTCCCTTTCAGTGGCCGCGGCTGCGTCCGTGCAGCGTCCCTGCTCCCAGCGCTCACGGCCCTTCCACTCCCACAAGCATCCTTCCCAGCGTCCGGAAGATCCCAGATGCCGGGCCCCTCGGAGGGACCGCTGGTTCGCAAAAGCCGGGAAAGGGGCGGGGGCGAGACGCGGTAGGATGCGGCCCCGCCCCCGCTCCCGGCCCCGCCCGCCCCTCTCCTCCCCAAGCGCGCCCTCCACCCAGCAGCCGTCCGCCCCGCACCTGCCCCGCCTCCTGCCCCCGCCTCCAGTCTCCTCCCTCCTGCAGAAGCTGCTCGGTCCCCACTCCCCTGCCGCCGCGGGCTGCCTGCAAGCGCGGCTCCCGGCCTGAGCGAGCGAGCGCCGCGGCCTCCGCGCCTCGTCCGAGAACGCGGGTGCCCCTGCAGCCCGTGGGACCCTGCGCCTCGGAGTACGTCCAGCAGCCTCGGGGTGGGAGGGCGCAACTTTCCCCCATCTCTGGCGGGGCGGGGCCGGCAGCGGGACAACTTGAAAAACTTCTCAGGGCGGACGGCAAGGACGCCGGGCTCCGGTGGAAGAGGATGTAGGAGAGTGGTGCCTGGCCGCACTCTTCCCCCAACCTCCTGGGCCCCACTCGTCCCGGCCATGGGAGTCCAGCACCGTCCGCGCTGCCAGTGGGGCGAGCCCCTCGTCTAGCCAGGCTCCCGGTGCTGCGGGGGCCAGCACTGTCGCCCGCTGTACTCACGCTGGGCAAGAAACGCCCCCTCTGGTCTGCTCGACCCTGCCATGGACCACCAGGAGCCCTACTCGGTGCAGGCCACCGCGGCCATCGCGGCGGTCATCACCTTCCTCATTCTCTTCACCATCTTCGGCAACGCGCTGGTCATCTTGGCGGTGTTGACAAGCCGCTCGCTGCGCGCCCCGCAGAACCTGTTCCTGGTGTCGTTGGCCGCCGCCGACATCCTGGTGGCCGCGCTCATCATCCCTTTCTCGTTGGCCAACGAACTCCTGGGCTACTGGTATTTCCGGCGAACGTGGTGCGAGGTGTACCTAGCGCTCGACGTGCTCTTCTGTACTTCGTCCATCGTGCACTTGTGTGCCATCAGCCTGGACCGCTACTGGGCTGTGAGCCGCGCTCTGGAGTACAACTCCAAACGTACCCCGCGCCGCATCAAGTGCATCATCCTCACCGTGTGGCTCATCGCAGCTGTCATCTCGCTGCCGCCTCTCGTCTACAAGGGCGACCCAGGCCCCCAGCCCCGCGGGCGCCCGCAGTGCAAGCTCAATCAAGAAGCCTGGTACATCCTGGCATCGAGCATCGGGTCCTTCTTCGCACCCTGCCTCATCATGATCCTCGTCTACCTGCGCATCTACCTGATCGCTAAACGTAGCCACCGCAGAGGTTCCAGGGCCAAGGGGGATCCTGGGGAGGGTAAATCTAAGCAGGCCCACCTGGCCCCTGGGGGGACCTCGGTCAAACAGCCAAACCTGGCCTCTTGTTTGGCTGCTTCCGGAGAGGCCAATGGACACTCTAAGTCCACTGGGGAGAAGGAGCAGGGGAGGACCCCTGAAGATCCTGGGAGCCCCACCTTGCCAACCAGCTGGCCTGCCCTTCCCCAGACATGCCAAGATCCGAACGAAAGAGCTTGTGGGGTGTCTGCAGAAGAGGAGGTTGGGGAGGAGGAGGAGGAGGAGGATGACGATGATGAGTGTGAGCCTCAGGCCTTGCCAGCATCTCCTGCCTCAGCTTGCAACCCAGCCCTGCAGCAGCCACAGGGCTCCCAGGTGCTGGCCACCCTGCGTGGCCAGGTGCTCCTGGGCAGGGGTATGGGTGCTTCGGGTGCGCAGTGGTGGCGTCGGCGGGCTCAGCTGACGCGGGAGAAGAGGTTCACCTTTGTGCTGGCCGTGGTCATAGGCGTCTTTGTGCTCTGCTGGTTCCCCTTTTTCTTCAGCTACAGCCTGGGTGCCATCTGCCCACAGCACTGCAAGGTGCCCCATGGCCTTTTCCAGTTCTTCTTCTGGATCGGCTACTGCAACAGCTCTCTGAATCCTGTCATCTACACTGTCTTCAACCAGGACTTCCGCCGTGCCTTCCGAAGGATCCTTTGTCGCCAGTGGACCCAGACGGCCTGGTGAGCCGCCTGCCTGCTGCCCCTGAGGGGTTTGTGCCAGGTGGCACCAGGGCCACCCTGCTTCCTACCCTGTTTTATGTAGCCATCTCCCTGGGGCCGTCTGGTCTTACCCAGGTACTGCAGGCCTCATCTTGGGAGTGCCCTGGGAGGGGCATGGGCGGGGGTGCTGTTGACAGGGGGCCACACTAAGCCTTCCCTTGCTGGCTCAGCTGTGGGGGGACATCATCTCCACACCCTGCCTGAGCACAGAGAAATGGAGGAGGCCTGGACCTTTCTGAGTGTGGCTGAGGCCAGGCTGGGATAGAGCACCTCCCTCCCAGAGCCCCGGAACCCAGTAAGCTTTCTCAAGGACCTTGTGGTCCTTGGCAGGCCACTTGTGGTGTTTTGTTTCCTTTTTATCTTCCCTAGTAAAGAGCAGGAAGCCAGCCTTCCACTCTTCCCAAGAGGGCCTGCTGTTGAGGAGGAGGCAGAGATGATGACAGCCATGTATCCACACTGAGTGCCCGTGGACCCCATCAGGCGCTGGGTGGGGGGGTTATGGGCTGGCACTGTCTCTGGGCCCTTCTTCCCGCCCCACACCACCTCCCCCCCGCACCCCGAACTGGCTCTTGGATGTGTAGCTTCTTTGAAAGCTAGAACTGTGATCCGTGTCACACCCGGCGCCCCTCTGGAGACCTGGCCTCTGCCTCAACAGGACATCCCTGATCACTAGCATTCACTCCCTGCAAAATCCAGGGCGACAATGGCTTGCCGCCTACTTGCTGCAGGGAGATGAAAGGCATTGCAGAAAGCTTTGAGCTCCGTGGGGGAACCTAGAGAACCAGAAAATGTGATTATTTGGTGATATAAAAATCCCCTTTCTCTGTGTTTACCACCGCTTGTCTTCCTATAGACTTTTGTTCTGTGCCTGGGGTATATGAATTCCTACCCCAAACTGGAAGTGGGGAGTGGCAGACAGAACAACTATTTCAGTTCAAGGATTTCTTTGAGAATATGTTCTTGAGCCTGCAAAGGTTTGAGTTATTATGCTGCATGACAACTTCTTGACATTTCACCTGCGACACCAAGAGGGTTTTTTGTGGCTTGGGCCCCCTGATGGGGGATGTCTTTTGTCATCATGCAGGCAAATTTGTTTCCCCAAGATAGCTAAAAATACCCACACCCTGGGAACAGTCTGACAGGAGAGCCTGTGGCCCTTGACAGAGCCCCCAGGCGGGGTTCTGGGCTTGGGCAGGTGAGCAGTGGCCTTCTGGACCACTGGGACAGCCTCGCGCCAGGTCGCGCCAGGCAGAGCTCTAAGCCCCAAATGGGTCCCTTTGATGCACAACTGATCCCGCCCTGGTGGGTGCTGGCCAGCCACCTCCAACCCAGCTGTGTGGTTCTGTCCCACTAACGGGTCTCCAGGGGCCTCTTCCTCCTAGTTCCCAACCCCCACCCCAGACCCTTGAACCCAGAACGATTTGGAGCACAGGAAGGATGTTTCCCAGTGGTTCCCCTGGGAGTGCCTGACTTCAACAGCAAGCCGGTGGGATCTTAGCTGGGGGTAGGGATATGTGGCAGAGCCCTGGGGGCACTCTACCAGCCCTGGGCAGATTGGGAGGGCTGCTGAAGGCATTTTCTGGGGTGGAAGGAATGGAGGGGGCCAAAGAGAGTCCCTCAGTTCATTTCTCAGTCTCAGTGTGAGGCCAGGGCATTCGCCTGGGGCAGGGCTGGGTAGGTAGGTGGGCCCAGAGGAGGGGCTGATTTGTGACATCTTCTGACTGGTCTCACATGTACTCCAGGGCACCCCTGCTATTTTGCCTGTGGCCCCCCTGTTGTGATATGCAGGTGTTTGTTTGTTTTTTTAAAGGGTTGAGCTATTTTATCAATAAAAGATATTTTGTAATAAGCACGCTGTGTCATCGTTTCCCAAGGGCTGCTGACTGTAGCTACTCAGCTGCTTGCAGCACACTCGGCATGGGCCAGCCGCCCTCCCCTCCCCCAGGTGTGGCCGCTGGTACCATCCAGCTGCCTGCCTGTCTGCTTTATTCACGCATTGTCCCTTATTCCTCATTACAAGCCAGCGGGGGTGGAGTGGTCAGAGGAGCCTGAGACTGGCTGCTGGAGCAGAGCTGCTGTCCTTCGGGCTGGGTCTTGGGGGGAAAGAGCAGGAGTACACGCGGAGGCAAGGCTTTTGGGCAAGGAAACAGGACATGCAAAAAGGTGCCATATGTGTGGTTGGTTGGGCAGTTTGAGAGTCAGCTGAAGGCTGGCCTTGCTGGGCAGTCAGGTGCAGGAGTGGGGGCCAGCGGGGATGGCCCAGCACGACCACATGGTGTGGGAGGGAAGACGGGCACCCTGTGGACTGTAAGCTGCTGCCTCGAGTGAGGGCAGGAGAGGGAGTGGAGCTGATCTGCTTCAGGCTGCCTCACACTGAGGTTCAGTCGCGATGTCTGAGCTGGAGTTTCCTCATTTCCAGATAAAGCACCCGAGGCCCCAAGCTTCCCCGTGCAAAGGTAGTTCTGTCCACCAGTCCTCCCGTCCCACCTCAGAGAAGGCAGTGTCGGGCCAGGCACAGCAGGCCGTCTGCAGGGCCAGTGCGAGACTGCGAGTAGTTAGGGTGGTGCCAGGGAGGGTGAAGCCTGCAAGGGGAGGGTGGGGAGGACCAGTGAGGCCCCAGGGTCTGGAAGTGTAAGGACACCCTTCACCTCCCTTTGCCTACCAACAATGGTATACTTGGCAATGTGGAGCTCTGCTGAGGACTTACCAAGAACCCCGGGCCCTGCCCTGAGGAGTTCCCAGCCCTTCCCACCAGCCTGCACCCACCACCAAGGCCCTGAGGCCTGACGAGAGCAGATCAGAGTAGTTTGTCTGTTCCCCAAGCTGATCGATCTTCTGGAGCTCTGTCTGGTTACCTTATTAGTCATCCAGGCCCAAGCTCTTTCCACTTGACCACACTGTTCCAAGCTGTCCGACGGTCTGCCAGGGGCAGGCCTGTGGGCCTGGGGGAGGGGCTCCCTCCCAGTCTCTGGAGATTGTGGCAGGGAACTTCCCTGCTGGAGCTGGACTATTGGCATCTCATTCTGAACACATTATCTCATTTGAGCCTCGCAGCCTTGCCAGGTGTGGTACCTTCACAGACCAGGACACTGAAGCTGTGTCCCTAAGTCACGACGTTGTGAAATTGACGCAGAAAAATTGTCATCCTGTGTTTGGCACCAGCTTTCCTTCCGTGGCCTGGCTGGATTCAGTAGGTGCAGTGCTGTGGTTGACTGCCTATGTCTGTCCCCAGCACAAGACGTGTACATTGCGGTATCAGTTTCACAGTTTCCATTCCTGACAGCTCGGTCTGATTCCCGCATTTTATTGGGAATCAGGAGAGACTAAGACCTAGAGATGAAGGACTTGCCTTGGACCCCTAGCCACATGGTGGTGGAGCTGAGTCTGAAACCCAGGTTGCCCGGTCTGTCCCCCACACCATATCTCCATCCCGAGGGGTTGCAGCCAGACTCAGGAATGACAGGCACGCATTTAGGAAATATCTGAGGGCAATCCACCGCGGGCCGGGCCCTGCGCTTGGCTTGTCCTTGCTACCTAATTCAGTTTTCAGTACCTGAGGAGCAGCATCTTGGGAACTGGCCCAGTGCCGTGTGCAAAGCTGGGCTGGATCCCGGGACTGCTGGCTCCCGAATGGACCTCTTCCTCTTACACTCCTTCCTGTTGTTCTGTGTGAATAGCACCTACTTTTGATTACACCCTAAGCCCATCTTAGGGTGAATAGGTTGATGAGGTGGGTTCAGAGCAACAGATATGGGTGTGGAGGCCCTGCTCCTCCCAGGAATAGTCCCAGCAAATGCCTGGCGGTGAGGGCGGAGAGAGCAGGCAAGCAGGGAGGCGTGGCATCTACCAGGTAGCTGTGAGCAGTCTTGGTGGGCACTTCTGCCACTGGAGACATCCGTGACTAACGGGAGGCATAGATGGAGAAGACAGAAAAGAGATTGGATGGGAGGGCTTAGGAAGACCTTACCCCCTACTGCCCTCACTCTGTAAGAATCTGGGGACACCCTGGAAAGGGAGTTGAGACTCTGCCCCTGCTTGGGGCCAGGTGCTGAGGAATTTGGGGTGCTAGAAATTCCTCTCTGGAGCTTCCTTGCAGGAGACACCTGACCCATCTGCTAGAAGGTGCTGTGGCAGAAGGGCCGGCCAACCTGCTATCAGGACACAGGTGGAGGAGGGCGTGTGGGTTCCTCAGGTCCTTGTACCCGCTCAATCCTTTGCATGGCTTCTGTCTTGTATGTTTGGAGGCATGCTGGGAAGGGGGTTTGCGACCTTGTCCAGCTATCACCTGCAGACGGGGTTCCTGCTAACTGGGAGGACACGTTCAACCCTCTGGAGTTGTACGAGGCAATCTTTGGCTGCCCCGGTGCTGGCTGGGACTTCCACTCCAGTGTCTGGTCCCTGTGTGCAGCAGCGCTGGGACTTCTGTGCTGGTGAACATCATGGTGGGGAGGCCAGGGTCATGCTCGCTTCTGCCACCACTTGTCTGGCTGCCCCTGGGTAGGCTGGGTCCTTCTTGGGCTTCTGTGTCCCAACCTGCCCACAAGGGATTGCCCCTTTGGTCCCCAGGGATCCCCAGCCTGAGGCTGCTTCTCTACTCTACCCCAACCCCAGCTCCTAGAAGGTCCAGACACTGAGGTCCCTGGAGTTAATTTGTTGTTCCTGAGTTGGGCTCCAGGACAGGATCAGGCTGTTTTCCTTACCTTTGTAGCTCAGTGCAGAGGCAGGCTGGGTCTGGAGCGGCTAATCAGCCTGGGGCCCTTTGAGATGGGCAGCAGAGAGAGGAATATTGGCAGCTCAGGGTCGTTAGGGCCAGTGCCTGCGATGCATCATTGGAGGTCCGAACCATTACTATCCCTGCTTCCCAGGTGAGGAAACTAAGGCTGAGGGAAGTAAAGGATCTTGTCTGACGTCACCCAGAGCCAGGATTACAAATCCACCTAATCTAATCTCAACTGTGTCACTAACTCACGTTGGTGTCTGCCCCAGGCCAGGGGCCCTCCCAGCCCAGCAAAGCCTCTGACCCGCAGAGACCCTCGCTCAGGGGCGATCTCCCTGCCTGTGGGCATCTCCACTAGAGCAGGGCCCGGGCAGGGGTGGGGCGCTCCCGCCCTCCCAGGCTCTGCTCGCTGTTAGCAGGGGAGGCAGGGAGCACTCGGCTAAAATTAGACACTGGGATCCTTCATGCTCCCGCATCCGACCGGCAGTGTGGGGATGGCTGTTGTCAGAAGGCCAGGGCTGGAAGGAGGCTGAATGTCAGCTTGCACCCTCCCCAGGGCTCACTGGCCCTGATCTTCTCACACCCTCCCCGGCCCTTGGCCAAGGGCTCCTGCCCTTGGCTTGGCCTTGTGGCCATCTATTGATTAGCAGTGATTTCAAAGGGAGAGGCACCCCCCCCCCCACCTTTAATACCCACCCTCTACCCCTGGGATTCCACAGTGGTTTTGTCCTTCTCTTCCCTTCCTCCCTTCCCCTCTCCTGGCCCTCCCCACTTCCGGGTCCTCAGTGACTCACCCCCCTTCTCTGAGCCTCC